TCAAAACTCATTGAGATATGAGCTGTGGAAGTTAAGGTATTGATTTTTTTAAAATGTCAATCTGCCTTATTTCTATTGATATAATATATTTTCGAAAGCAGCTCATAATGATTTCTTCAAAAAATTCGACAAACTGTGTAACCCAATCAAATTCTCTAATATGAGTGCGATGATTTTCAATGGACTCAATGATTGCGATGGTGAGGTCACGGCCCAATTTCTGTTTTTATGATACGTGAATGTATCTTTTAGAATTTCAGCGGATGTAGTGACCTAATATGGCGTCCGTAACTTTTAACATCGCACAGTAACAGTCAAACATTCATAAAGAACTAGAAGTATATAGTTCATCCGTTCTTTAAATTCACCAACAAAAAAAAGACCTAGCCATTAACGAAGAATCTCTACGGGCACTAAAAGAAATGGACGAATTAGCAAAGAAAAAGGCAAAAAATACAAAAAAAAAGAGGAGCAAACCGAGAAGCAGAGAAAGCACAAAAGAAAGTTGAAATTGAACAAAGAATGTAAAAAAAAAAAGGAATAGCATTACGTGGATTTATTTGGTCTATATACGTACTGTACGTGGGTGTATTATACTATTGGTATAATACCAGTATAATACCCCGATCACTATTCAACTTTCAGCCCCGCTAATACCCAACGGATCAGGATATTATTATTGCTTATACTACCATTTTCTATTATACCAGTATAACCGCATCACTATACGTATAATAGCGTTTTTTTTAAAGTCCAGGCTTTTTTTTTATTATTATTAAATGCTGTGTTAGTTTGATAAATACTGTGAATAATATGCTTTTTATGAAAATTTTACTATTAGCAACTCAAGTGTACCCCCAGTCCTCCTTATAGATTTTAAAAATTCGGCGTTTATATATAAATTTAATAAAATTTATACGTATTCAAAAAAAATTCGTCATATCGAAGAAAGGTGGGAAACAACATGGGAAAACAAGATGTGATCGGATAGGTTAAACACTCATATCCATTATCTTGACGATTTTGGGTGGAATGATAACTTTTGTATTTTACTCAAACTTATTACAGTTTATTTTTGTGAATTTTTTTGTTTTCAGATTATAGTACTGTATGAGCGAACTCCAATTTACATAATTTATACGAGAAAATATTCTAATGATAACTTTTCCATTTTCATGATTAATTTTTCCAATATGTTAAATTTAAAAATTTTTTATACTACGTACTGTATAATAAATTTTGTATTAATAAAAGTATTCACCAATCAAAAATTTTTACGTAAAAAAATTATAAAACATTCTAATAGACCAGTAAAATGATAATAAAGTTTACGTTTTTGATGCATTAAGCTCCGACTTTCTGTTCGCACACGTGACACAAGATAGCTCCGGACCAATAATGCTACTAGCGATAGTCAATTTAGAAACTATGTTAAAAATTGAGCTGATCTGTGGCACAACGATAAAAAATTCATATATAAATTATAAATAAATTTTTTTAAAAAATTTTCATTTAGATTTAAAATGTCACAATTACTCGACAAAATCCTAATGAATACGGAAGAACCATCTTATGATATATTAGGAGAATTCGATGACAACTTTGATGGGTCAGATACGGAAATTCCTATGCCATCCATCGATACCACACCAATAACACCTAGTGATGTAAAAAGGTATATAGAAGAAGCATTAGAAATAGGCAAAAATAAAGGTGAGGATACAGATGATGCACAAAATCAAATAGCGGATGATACTGGTGCATGGCAAGATTCTGATGATGAGAAGGTTTGTGTATCATTACAAAGTAAATCTATGTTAAAAAAATTAAGAAAAAATGAAGATGAAGATGTAATATCCGGTGATAAATATGAGAAGAGATTGAGACAACAATTTGAGAAACTATATCCAACTCCAAATTGGGCCACTGTTCCTTCAAAACGAAAAAGACAAAAAATGCTGGACAATTCAGATTCATCAGATGATGAACCACCGGAAGAGTTAGAAATTCGCAATGAGCCTGATAAACGTAATGAGTCTGACAAACATATTGAGTCTGACACACATAATGAGTTTGATTCATTAAAAATTCAGACAAAACTATTATCAAAAAAAAAACTTGAAGTCACAAAAATGAAACATGTGAATCAACAAGCCTATTCACAAAGCGTAATTCAAAGTATAGCTTTTCATCCAAATGCTCAAGTCGCCATGACTGCTGGACTAGATAAGACAATACGCTTATTTCAAGTCGATGGTAAAATCAATCCGAAAATCCAATCTGTTGTACTTAAAGATTTACCCATTTATCGAGCAGCATTCAATCCAAATGGAACTGAAATTATTGCCGCTGGACGGAAAAAATACTTTTACATATTTAACATCGAAGCTGGGAGTATCGATAAATCTAATGGGATTTATGGATTTCAAGATAAATCATTAGAAAATTTTTCAATCTCTCCTTGTGGACAATATATTGTTTTTGCTGGTAGTAGTGGATATTTGGTTTTGGTCAGCAATCGAACTAAGCAATGGATCGCCAACATGAAAATGAATGGCACTGTTACATCTGTTGATTGGTCTAGTGATGGTCGATATTTATATTCTGTTGGAAGTGATGCCGAGGTATACCAATGGGATGTTAATACACGAAGATGTATTCATAGGTTTAGGGACGATGGTGGGTTTAAGCCTACAAAGATATCAGTATCGAAGAATGGTCACTACTTTGCTATTGGGTTAGTAATGTGTGAAGTTTCCATTTTGTTATTCGCATTTGCGCTCAAATTTTTTAATTTTAAAAATAGATCGAATTCTGGTATCGTTAATGTTTATGATGAGACTTGCTTAGTCTTACCAAATCCTAAGCCTTTAAAGTCAATTATGAATTTGACAACAAATGTTCATGATATGAAATTCAATCACGACTCTCAAATACTTGGGATCTCAAGCCATTCCAAAAAAAACCAATTAAAATTGGTAAATTTACTCTTATTTAAAAAAAAATTATAAACCATTATTCATACTTTCTTTAAAAATATTTATGATTTTTGTGGCAGGTGCATTTACCATCTCTTAATGTGTTTCCAAATTGGCCAAACAATTTAACGCCTCTTAATTACGTTCAATGTTTTGATTTCTCACCAGCAAGTGGTTATATTGCTATAGGTAACGACAAAGGTAAAGCACTTTTATATAGACTTAGGCATTATCCCGTGGCCTAATAAATGATATATAATTTTATATAATTTTTCGCAATAATTTATTAATAAATATATACATGCTCATAAATTCATACTAATGTAATTGCTGTACAATTTTGTTGATACTATTTCTTTTATCAGATACTTAAAGTGATTTATTTCTTAATTTTGATGCATCAAAATAAAATTATAGACAAATTTGCTTAACAAAGTAAGGGTGATTTACTATATCAGGATATATAAATTATGAAACTTTTAGAGAAAATAAAATAGATAAATTAAACAGATTTAAAATATTTACCGACTGTAATTTGTATAAGCAAAATGATAACGATAATAGATATTGTAAAAAGAAATTTATTTACATGTTTAATAACTACTAAACCAAATAAAAAAAAAAATAAGATTTAACAAATTTTTTAAAAAAAAATCAACTTTTTTGTAGATTTTTAAAACTAACTTTTTTTATAAACAAAAATTTTCTCAAAATGTATTATTTAATTTATTTTTAACTTAATTAAATTTATTTTACTTAAAATCTTGTACGTTATTTGAATAATGAAAATTACTATATATCGCCATTAAACCTAGGTGCCGCACAAAAAATGCGCGGATGATCCTCGATTTTGATTGGCTAACGGCCGTGATCTTCGAAATTTTGGCCCGCATTACAAAATTGGTTACTAAATTCCGGCCGGATTTGACTTTTTAATTTTTTCA